ATAAATATGATGTAAAATTATGCGATTTAGTGCGATTTGGTTTAATCACACTAAATCACACAATTTCCGTGTCCCTGTCCCACATCTCTTATGTTTAGGAATCAACAAAACAGATTTCAAAATCCTAATGTAAAATATTACATGAGAACAAGCTTTTTTAGTCTTAGCAAAGAAGTTTTCTTGCAAGATTTTATTTAATCTTGAATTACTTGCCTGTTGATTTAAATGATGCTTAAAAAGAATAATAAAATTTTAATAACGCAAGTTACATTTTTTAAATTAGTATCTATGAAATATATTATATACGTTTATTCAGTTATATATGTGATCTTAATTCACCTTTCGGAAGAATCATAATCCTGCTTATATTGTTAGCAAATATCCTAATACAGATTAATCGCTAACTATTTGGTGATGCGTCAATTAAAACAAGGCTTATGTCATTTTTTACAAAAATGTGTTAGCCATACCATCATATAGAAGTAGATTAGTCATGTCGAATAAAAAAGGCAGTCACATGATTTTTTGATGTTTTTTGCCCAATCAGATTGTAAGATCAAGTGTAACGTAAAGTTACGAAAATTACGTTTTCTTCAAAAATTGTTAATAACTCAAAATTTTGCATATAAAACTGCTTCTTACTTCCTAATAAAAAAATTCCTTGCGAATTTTTTTTGGTATATAATTTGCTTTTTACTACCTTAATACTAACTTTATAGAGAAGTTTTTGCTTCAATATTCCTTGATTGCTTTTTGATTTGTTTTTATTTGGTTTGATTTTTACATTACACCTGATCCTACAATCTGATTGGGCAAAACCATCAAAAAATCATGTGACTGCCTTTTTTATTCGCCACTACTAATCTATATACTAAAAATATAGAGTAGGCGTTCTTCTATATAATTTGACATTTAAAACATAAAATTTTTGTCGATGCCTAATTTTTGAAATGCTGTATACGATTAAACATAATTTTGTCGATCTTGTAGAGTAATAGAAAATGATTCGCGTATTGGCTAGCATATGTCGATCCAACAGGTACGTTCGTATGACGTGCGTACTAATAATACCAAATTTTAAACGTTGTCAGCTCCGAAATCGGCGAGTCTGTCGCTTGAGTGTGGTTGGCTTCGTGTAACCAGAGTCTTGGTTAAGTAGTGTCGAAAGGAGGCGTGTTAGATTTGGACGAGTGGTTAATGAATAACTGTGGTCTATACAGAATACAATTTAGATAATGTATGCGTATTGATAATTGGGCATGATAACGACTCAGTAGTCGTTCCAGTTTATTATGTATGAAGTTTATGTATTTAATTAGGGACAGACTTGGGTGTTTTTATTCTGGATACTTGTAGAATTGTGTGTATTAATAAAAGCAAAGGCGGGAGTTATCCTTCCCAAGGGCCAAAACGGCCTTTATTTATAATTGATTTTGCTAACAAACGGAATATTTACAATTATCGCTATTCTAGGTATTTCAATAATTCCACTTATTGCGACTTTTCGCCTTATTCCCATAATTCACCTTATTCCCTTAATTCGTCTTATTGTTGTAATGCGGGTTATTCAAGGGATCTCCAGAATTCTGCCGGTAAATCTAAATTAGGAATTCCCGCATCACGTGGGCACGTGCCCGCGTCAGGTCACGTTTCCGGTTTCACAACGTGATTTCTCAAAATAGAAAAAAGTCCATAAGCAGCCCCATATTATAGCAAAATTAGCATCTGGGCAATTTTACTTAGCGCGCTAATCTATGCCGATTTACGATGTATCGAGTTACCTAGAACACAGTTATTTGTACGGTACACTAAATTTGATACATGAATATTATTGGAATTCTCTTATCACTTTTTATTTAAATTCAACATAACTTACAACGATTAGAATCGAAAAAAAAATGGATTTCGACGTAAAATAGTAAAACGAAATATATTTAAAATGATTGATTATTAGTTACTATGAAATATATTTAATAAATATTTTATTTTAAGAATTATTTTATTTTGAAAATTTTTAACCTATGTCGATCTGAGATTATCCTTTTATTTCTAGACAAGTCTAATTATTTGAGTAACATATATCTTGAATGAAAATTTTTAGACCTTTATTTTACAAAATAACCATGATCTTGTTATTGCGATCCTTCATTAACTCGATAATACAAGTTTCGATATTGTGTTAACTAGGAACTGAAACACTCAACTAATTACAGTACCAAAATGAGAATGAAAAGTCACTTATAATAAACGAAAAATATCCCATTGAATACTCTATTAAAAATCATGCATCCTAAAATGAATCATAGAGACATATGCAAAAACGAAATGTCCGACACTGTCTATGGTATAATGAACTTAAGTCACTTGTATTAATCGAATATAATTATTTGAAGTAGTGAATCCATAATTCCTATAAAAAAAAATTTAAAAATTTTATTCAGATTTTGTTCGGATTATTACTTTTAAAAATGAGCATTTTCGTAATAAAAACCTATTCCAACCCCTTATAATTTCCCGAATAATCTTAAATTCCTAAATATTTCTGATTTCCAGATTATACTTTATATAAAATAAAAAAGTATACCAGGAAATAGTGTTTATTTTTCATGTGCGCAAAAGTGTGCGCACGTGTGCGGATCCAATCAAATTGCTTTATTTAAAAATTTGATTGGATCCACACACGTGCGCACGCTTTTGCGCACGTGAATATAAACACTGCCAGGAAATCAGAAATATTCGGAAAATTTAAAATTATTCAGGAAATTATAAGGGTTTTATATAGGTTTTTGTTACGAAAATTGCTCATTTTTAAAAATAATAATCTGAACAAAATTTTTAATTTTATTATAGGGCTTCATGTTGGGATCAGCCTCAGCTTGGTTCCTCACATTACGTAATTGATAGTGTTGAGGTGTATGTATAAGCTTATCACCGGTTTTACAGTTTTACCGACAATTCTAAGAATTTTCTAAAAATAACAACTCAATTAAAAATTTAAATATTTTTCCAAAATAGGTATCTTGTACAGAATCGAAATATTGTGATTAGCTACAAGATTATTCTATAAGAAGCGTGGGATCAATAAAACTCGATATCGTGACCAACACTTGTCAGACGGATAAGATCTATTTAAGCTGAGTTGTTTGTATTTCAGATTATTTAGACTCTCAAAGTGTCCAATTTGCAATATTAAACTTAAAATAACTATTCACCACAAATTTTAGAAGAAACAGGAATGTCTCATTTTAAAGGATCAAACCAAACAAACAACGAGAACCATGTAATTCAATTATCGGGAGACTTAACTTCTCCAGTGACATTAGAAACACCAGCTCCCTCAACAACACTGGAATCCCCAACTATATTAGAATCACCCAAAATTAATTCAATCCAAGAAAGCAAAAGAAAGATGTTACTACTAAGCCTATTAATGATATTTGTTGATATCATCTTACCGCTCATCCTTTATTCGATTCTTTCAAGATTTATATCTGTCATTTTGGCACTAATCATATCAGGTATCCCACCGATTATTTCTATTATCCTTAATTTCATCTTTCGCAGACAAGTCAACGCCACGGGAATACTCAGTTTGACAGGTTTTACTGCTGGAGTTATAATGTCAATAATTCAAGGTGATGCTAGGTTATACCTATTGCGAGAACCAATTATGACTTGTGCAATAGGCCTAGTACTCTTTATCACTTTGATTCCGATAAAAGTCGGTTCATTCCAAATGCGACCTTTATTATATAATTATGCTAAAAATCTTGGAATAGGTAATCTTAAAGGTTTAACCGAAGATGAACCTATTCCTGAGCGTTGGGAAAGGTATTGGAGAGCTTACGCTGAGTTTCGACGAACATTTTTTGTCTTGACTGCTGTTTGGGGATTTGGTTTAATTCTTGATGCTCCTGCTCGTGTTCTAGTTATTTACAATGCAAAAACAATTGACCAAGCAGTTTATTTTGGAGTTGTTGCTGGTTTTATTTGGATTAATTGTTTAATTGTATTTACCATTATTTATGCTGGATGGAGGAAAAATTTATTTGAGAAACAAATTAAAAAGGAAGAGGCAGCCACCGCAGTTGCTACAGCCAATAAGGAAGTTTAATTATATATAGTACAGTCGTACTCCCATATACTTTACAGAAACCTATGTTTTTTACTAAATATGTTTAAAATATAAATATTATATATTTACTATATTATTATAATA